AAATATATACTACATATTCTTTAATATAAACATACTACCATTTTGGTAATAAAAAACTAAAAAATAAGTAGGTACCTATATAAATAATTAATACACGGGCTTACTAATTTTAATATAGGTAGGTACCTACCTATATTGATTAATGTGATGGACGGAGTACACTATTGCATGTTTTGTACATTTTTAAACTATTGTGAAATAAATCAACTTGATTTTTAAAAATACTGGAATAAAATACTAGGTTAATAAATATGTAATAAAAAATAACGTGATATGCGAACACCGTAATAAACGAACACGTATATCTACTGATTTTCATTTCTTCGTACAATCTAGAATGTAGATGTCAATTATAGTTTTAACACAGTCTTGTTATAAAGAGACTTATAAAATCTTACATAGGTACCATAAGTATACGAAAATATAGCAAACCGTATAGCCAAGCTCCACCAACAACTTTAACAGCCCTCCCAATCATTTACTAAATTTTTTTAATTCAATTTTATAATAGTATGGTTTTAGGCTTCGGCCTCCCAAAATATCAAAATTAGAGCCTATTGTACCTCACCAAACATAAAGATATTTTTCAATGTTATCCAAATATGATTTTTCCCGACAATTGTATGTATCTGCATTTAAGTTAGAAAAATGCAAAATATGAATAAATATGCGAAAAATCGCTCAAATGAACACTTTTAGTAAAATATGAAAATTCAAACTTTGTTTGATTAGACATTTAAAAAATTTCATAAGACAAATTTATAACTTATCTAAAATAATGCGAGGAGTCCCAAACCCTATAAACAATATTTTTATTAGGGAGGAAAATGTCAATGGGGGGTGTTTAAACACCCAAAACCCCCCCCTGGCTACGCCACTGTATGCACCTAAATTATTGGGTATAGCAATGTAGCAACGTGTAAGAGGTACCTAAGATAGGCACCTGCAGCTATTGAATCTTTTCTTTGTAAAAACATTTTTGGCCCTTTTGAGGAGTTCGAAAGTTTCGGAGTTCCGCTTAACGATTAGAAGTGAGCTCGGGAGGGGGAGGGGGGCGTCGTAATACTAAAATATAATAATTTATCAATCGGTCGCGATAGCGCATGTACGGAGGTTGGAACGTCGTTGACACCGCGCAGTCGAGCGCGCGCACAGGTGGTTGCAGCGCGCCGGCGGCCGTTTATCACAAGTGAAATATCGGCCTAATCGCGGCAATAAATTTTAAAAAAATATATAAAAAAAGACTACAAATTATTTCGAAACCGCCGGCGACGGTGGAATCGGTGTCGCCGCCGTGCACGCGCGCCGCCGAGAATTAAAAAACCGCATTTCTGGAATCACACACACACACACACACACACACACACACGTGTTCGTCGACGAATATTTATATATAGGTATAGGCAGAAGACCAGGAAAAATATAACGACGATGATAATAATAATTATTATTATCATCATATGGTGCCGTTTGTAGTTCGTTGTCGTAAATCGTCGAGACGTGGCGGCGATGTCGGCGGCGCGGAGTAAAAGACGACGACCACGACAACGATGGTAATAATAATAATAATAATAAAATAATATTATAATAGCGCAAAGGAAACAACCCATTTGCACACACACACACACACACACACACAGGCCGCTTGTGCAATCCAAATAGCAATCGCGTGAAACTCACCACGGTCGGAGGAAAACTAGTTACGAAGCGCGTGCCGTATAATATAATAATAATATAATTATTATTATAATGATAGAAAACATTATGAGTTATTATTGGCTTGCCGAGAATCGACCATATTGGTTCCACTGTATTATTTATTTCATGCCCAGTGAAATAGATTTGAACTTAAACGTTATATACAGGACGATTCGCTGACGATCTTCACCATTTCAAAAAAGGAATTTATTTGAATTCTGTTTTTTTTCTTCAAACTTTTAAGCGCACGCCTCTAGAGGACCGTGAAATTTTTAAAAACGTATAGATATTATATTATTTTATACCTATGAAGGAGTGTTCTAGCTGTGGGCTGTGGCGTTTTCCAAGATTAGAACGGCAACTATTTTTACCTTAAATTAATTATTGTTGAGTAGATGATTTTTTTTGAAAATTTGGTAGCATGTATCCATATCAAAACTCGAACGATTTGTTTATAAGTTGAGATGCCGCCACACGGACATTTGTTGTCTCTGTCTTAGTCTTACAAGTGCGTAACATAGCAAACTTACTCTGAGCAGATAACGTTTAGCTCCATTAGTTTAAAAATTAGAGTGAATTGATATATATTATGAAACTTGATTTTAAGAACATTATCTGTGTTTGTATGTTGGTTTTTTACGATTATACAGTTTTTAAGTGAGTTATCAGCATTTTTAATTTACGATATATTATATACGCATAACTTGCTAAAAATGTGAACTATCATTAAAAACAAATATACGAACATAGATAATGATCTTACCATCAAGTTTCATAATAGACCTATTATCGATTCCCTCTCATTTTTAAACTAACAGAGCTGAACGTTATCTACCTAATATACATAATATACCTAATCTCGAAAATATTTTTAAATTACAACAAAATACCTAAAATTGTTGTTCTTCGATTAAATATCTAATTTCATCCAAAGTTGAACTTAAAATATCTTTAAAAAAAAACTGTGTTTATATATTTTTTTAGATTTTTTTGTTAAAGAATATGAACTACTTATCTACTTGTAATAATAAAAACATGTTTATTAAAATGTATATCAAATATGACCAATATTTTGGTTAAAAAACACGTCAAAATAATACAAAAATATCTCAAAAATGTCAGAATAAATTATCGCAAAATATAAAAATTGAAAAATATGCAAAAATATGCGAAATCAAATCATTAGTTTCAGTTCTTTAAATCATTAAGCGACTATGTTAAGCTTACACTACCGTTTCCTAAGCATTGTATAAGAAATATGCAAATTCTATAAATTCCCAACCCTGACAATAAACATAATATACACTTATGTTGTTAATTGTTATTTAATTTATAATAATTTATTAATGTATTATTTCATTCGTTTCCGTGTGAACCACTTTATTGTGTGAACCACTATACTTTAATATACTTTGAAAACAAAACTCGCATTGACCGCAGGATTTGTGACACCAAAAAAAAAAATAAATACTTTCCATGACCGCCAGTAATATTTAAGTCTTAAAAATATTATGATAATTTGCAAGTTACCAAAATGTACCTATATCATTCTGGTCACACGTATCGGTTTATTATTCAAGTATATCGCCTCGATACGACAACACAACGAAATCGTGTTAACCTAATGGTTTATTGGCTTATATATTATATTATTTAAAATAATATTATAATATTATTGTACGCCTATAATAATATTATATAAAATTGTGTAGGTATATTGTATATTATCATTAAAATATGTGTCGAACGAGATCGTCAGGGGAAACGTTTGTCCTTATGCTTAGGCCGATCTCGAGACGACGACTTTCACGCGGTGAACAAAAGCTGTTATAAGTAGGTACCTATTTTTTTTTTGTATTTATTTATTATTTTGCTTACATTCGTAATAATATATTATTATATTGGCGTGTCGATATTATACACATGATAAGTGAACAAATAATGCTTTCCAACGACTTATAACGCGTAATAAACGGTGATTGTTAGTATTCATTTTCACTTGTCCACGACGGCGACTGCGACAAAAACCGGATGGCATTCGATATCATTACAATAATATGCGCATAGGTTCATAAATTGATAAGTGCATAGTGTAATAATATAATACATTATGTTTAAGCCGCATTACGACAACGTTATACATATTTTAATCGATTCGCCGTGTCATTCGATTATTTATATTCTGCGGACTCCATATCGTTATTATTATACAATATTGTGAAGTTTCAATGAAGAACAAAACAGGTGCATCATATTTATTTTAATTTATATAATTTAATTGAAACAACGTACACAATATAATTATAATTACGGTTAATAATAATAACGGTAATAATATTATTAGGTGCAATTTAAACTGTAACTGTTGTCAAGTCGACATGCACATTGGAGAAATTAAAACTAATATAATTACAGAACTGCAGGGTTAAAATTGAGGTGAGATAAGGCCATAAGCGTGTTCGTTTACGAGACGCGTCATGCGTTGAGTTGGATGGTTACGAGAACGAAGTTCTATGGAAGGGACTAGAAAGGAATCAAAGTTTCGTGAAGAACGAAGAATACACAGAGTCGATCAAGTGTTGGTCATTTTTAAAAGATATAAAATAAATTGTTAAAGATGACAAAGACGTCGATAATCATTGTTTCGTTTTTTTGGTCGATTCAGAACATTGCTAAACGTCTGCCAAAATCGTCGTATCATCATGTATCATCGTCCATAGACTATTACTACGTTTATTACGACCCGAGTAGGTTCTAAATATGACCATGTGTCTAGGTTAAATACTTGAGTGTTCTAAAATATTATGTAGACTATAACTATAATTTGTTATAATACTTATAACCAATTATACAAAAACCGTTTAGAAAAAAATAGGTTATGTAAAACCCTAACCGAACTAAAATCCTGTGTACGCTATACTGATAGCCAAACTTTTTAGCCTTTAAAAAGAGATAAACATTCCTCTAAGATAAAAAGGTTATATTATAGATACGTGGGATAACTTCTGATCCGTCTGTGCACAACATGAACGAATGAAAGTTACGACTTGGGGAAATCCTATTACATAATTACTTTGGGTACTGCGTCACTGATATTCCACTAAAACGTTATTTTCCTTGGCTGGTGATCTTTGGCCAACCACGGTCATCGTTTAAAAGCACATTCTACAGGTGCCGTGCTCTCAGTCGTGCAATCACGTGTCGGCCGTAACTACGATAGTCACGAGCCTTTTCGACGGTTTCGAGGTATAGTATTGGTATATAGTTCATCTCATTTGGTCAACCACTCACCCGTCACAATAATGCAGTGGTCAATGGGTGCGTGTCTTTGCGGGGTCCTGCTCTTGCAGCTTCAGGGTCCGGCGGTGGACGCCAATTTTTGGGACGACTATCCGGTGACGTTGACGCAAATGCTGTCGAAAATGCAGTTGAACATCAGTGGCGATATGGTGCGACAGATGGAAAACAAATTCCTCGTCCACATGCCATCGGTGTCCAAGATCAATTCGCCCTTGGAGGTGACCACCGGCGAAACGTCGGCGGATGGCACGCTGGTGGTCGGCCACATCAAGGGCAAAGAAGAACAGGGGCACACCAGCTACACTGGTGCCGTGGTTGGTGGTGACTCCGGTGGACCGGCGGTTTGGGTCACCGGAAGTCTGATCGAGGACGCGGAACACACGGAGGGCAAGGCCGTCATAAACGCCACACCTGATATTAAGGAGTATGTGGCAAAGAAGTCTGTTAGTGAACACTTTGATGCGATCAAGGGCTTGGTTGCTGACATTGCGACGAAACCTCAGTACAAGCCGCTGCGGACGCGCATCCAGGATGGCTTAGAGGCGTTTGCGGGCCGATAGGATGACATTGAGGCGAATAAGTTTGATGACTTACTCGACGCTTAGGTCATGATGGGCTTACATTTTATAATCAGTCATTTCAAGACACCGTGACGGGGGTTGGTAATTATCTAATTTTGATTGTTGAAAAATAAACTCATATAAAGACTCAAATATTTTTTACGTTATTACTACCTATGATTTCTACATAATAAACAAGAACTTATACAGATATATCAGATAGGTATAGGTTTTTGGAATAATTACATATAGTACAACAAACGAGATATTTTAATTATATAAGGTAAAATGCAAGGCTGGACAAGTTAATGATTTTTCTTAACTCAAAAATTAGTTTAAATTAAATTAATTTGTTTATACAACACTAATGAACTTAATTTTTTTCCAACCCAAAACTAAATTATAGGCTTTATTATAGTGTTTATACTTTATACAGTATTTCCATATATAAGTTATATTCGAATGATAAAAATTTTTAATTTTAACATTTCACGTCAAATATTTTTTGACATGAAAACGAAAAAGAATGAAATAGTTAAATATTATAAAATTAAAAACAAAATAAATTAAATCAACTTACTTCTTAAAATAAAAAAATAATTCGTTAATTAAAAAAGACATTTAGTCATTTTAACAGTTAAGTTATTTGAAAGCTAAAAGTAACTAGTTAAGTTAAACATTTAAAATTAAATTAACTTTTTAACTTGTTAATGCTAAGCCTTTTATAAATATATACCTATTAAAACATTTTAAATTGCTGTTTGTTATTTTAATAAATTGTCTTAAATATTTTACAATCGGTATTATTTGTGTGATTATGTATTGGTCAAGTATAGTTTGGTCATTGTGTATACTTAAATAAAAAAACGACAATGTAATTAATGTAGTGTTAATATATAAAAATTCAAAATAGAAGAGAATTGAAATTGTAGGTATATTATTATTTATTACTATTGAACAGAATAATAATAATATCGCGCATATTATATTATCAGATATTTTAAATTAATAATTTAAAATAAAAATTAAAATAATACAAACGGATATTGTGAGTGTTTGTAAATTATTGCAAAATGGTTATAAAATATATTCATTGACATTCATAAAAAAAAAGCTATACAATTATAAACTGAATATTTCCGTAAACAGTTCAAAACAAATCAAATTATTTTGAACATATTTTTATAGTGTAGGTATAAAGAATAAGAATATAAACAACCATTCAAAATGGCATGTATCATATTGGTAATTTTTTTTAGAGTTTCACATACAACCGAAATAGATTTTGTCAAAAACCGATTTCAAGTAAAAAATGCAGTTTTTCATTAATTTTTATTATATTTTTCTCGGTGCTTTTGAAAACTATTTTGAATTTTAAATGTTGACCTCCTAAGTTCGCCAACTAAATTCACATTACCATCGAACAATATATTGTTGAAGAAAGTCGGAGTAGTTTTACTGTCCCAAACGGTGAATACAGACACAAAAATAAAAAATAAATAACACACATCATTGTAAAATCGCTCAGCTCAGAATCTAAATCAGGTGCCTAGTGGTTTAGGTACTGTTTATATACTTCTGGGTCAGAACTCGTAAAGTAGTAGGTGATAAGTAGATATTTTATAATATAGTAAAAACCAGAGAAAAAAATGTAACTGCCTTAAAAAAAAAGTTATTAATATTAATATTAATATTTTAAATGAAAAAATAATGTTCAGACCTTTTTTATGCCACAAATACCTGATATGTATTTAGTAGGTATTCATCATGTTGATTATTTGATTTATACAAATTTATATATTATACTATATTAATTACTTTAATTGATAGGTATATCTATATCAAATGAGGACTTACTGCAAACCTTTAAAAATTAGACATAGACGGATGGTTTTCCAGATTGCTTTTTAATAATGCGTTGTTTAAATAATTTCTTCTACAACACAGTTTTTTGATATCATATTTTCAATATATTATATAATTATAACTATTATTTTGTATAAACAAAGTAAATATATATTTTAACTTATAACAAGATAAAAAAAAAATTAAAAAAATATATGGACAATTTTTAAATTAGTTATCATAGAAAACACCATTACGAGTTCAAATCTGTATTTACCAAGACATTATTTTATTCTGTGATCCTACCAAGTCGGATGAAAATAATGAAAAATCAATATTTTTAGATAAGAGTGTGCTGGTTATTTTAAAAATTCAAGTGGCCGACCACCAAAGTGTTGTACACCATCGTTTTGGAGTTTTTCAAAAAGTACATCTCCTTGTTCCAAGTCGCCTCCGTGTCACCGGACCACCACGACTGACTTGATGTGCGACACCGGTGGCATCTGAATGAGGAAGTTGTTCTCCGTCTGTCGCACTACCTCCGGGTCACCGTTAGCCAACTCCACGATCGACTTAACTTGCGATATCACCTGTAAGGTGTCCCAGAAACTGGCGTACGCCACCGGCCTCAGCTGCAGGACCAGGACTGCGAACAGACACCCGACCGTCAAGCACTGCATTATTGTGACGGGTGAATGGGTGACCAAATTATATCAACTATATACCAATATTATACCTCGAAACCGTCGAAAAGGATCGTGACTAAATTGTAGTTACGCCCGACACGCGATCACACTACTGCGAACACGACACCTGTAGAATGTGCTTTTAAACGATGACCGCGGTCGGCCAAAGATCACCCGCGACCGAAAACAACATTATAATGGAATATTTATCCATCTATCATTTAAAGGCTAAATGCTAATATATACTATAACATTTTAGGTACCTATACCGCAGTAGCCAAAGTGATTATGCAATGGGATTTCCTCAAATTATCGTAACTTTCATTCGTTCATGTTGTGCGCAGACCGATCATAGGTTATCCCACGTACCTATATAATAACCTTTTTATTTTATCTTGGTAGAATGTTTATATTTTTTAAAAGGCTAATAAGGTTGGCAATCAGGATTTTAGTTCGGTTAGGGTTTTACCCTAGTAAACAATTCACAATCGAAGCGTATTTTTTGGTGTTACCTACGCCGTTTGCTAAATAGGGTGCTCTGTAAATATACATATTCTATGTATATTATGTACTTACTACTCCTTTCAACACTTTTGTACAATCGTTTAATATTTATACAACTGACATTAAATATTATGACGTTGTAACACATAGATAATTGATAAAATAGGTTTAGTTAAGTTGATTTTTTAATAAGTTAAAAACTGCACAAGACCATATTAATATTGTATAACATATTATATAAATGTTTAACCTTAGTCTGCAGGTGCAGATTATAACAATAATAATTTATTTTTTAGTTAAAATTTACCAACTAAACATCATTATTTTGTGTGTCGACAGATCTAATTTCCAATTTATCTTTCATATAGTTGAATAATAAATAAGTATATTATATATGCACCATCACAAGTTGTTTTTAGATTTGTAACAGCAGTAATGATAACCGAAAAACGTAAATCAAAATCAGCTTTATTGAGATTTTTGCAGTCGTCAGTGAAACAATGGATCGGCGTTTTTATAATTATAATAAAATACAAATCTATATATATAAAAATTAATGTATGTCTGTGCGTCTATCTGTGTGTCCATATTATCTGGCAACCAACTCCAGGAGAAGATATAGAATGTTTGTCTCATTGACCATTGTCTGTCTGTGTGTGTGTCCTTTGGTTTCCATGGTTACCGTGGGTTTTGAAGCTATCATAATAATAATTATTGGTTGCCGGGAACAAAGTGCATGAGGTCATTTGATACAAAGATAGATTGGACTTCTGGGCAGAAGATAGGATAATTTAAAAATGTAGAGGTCCAGCCCCGGGATGTGCTCAAACAGGGATTTTGAGATTTCCGATGGAAATTTTTGTTTATAAATGGTTCTATGGGTTTTGAAGCTATTCTAATAATGACTATTGGTTGCCGGGCATCGAAGTGCACTGGATCATTATTGGTTTGCCGGGTGACGAAGTACATGGAATAATTTAGTACGGAGATAGGTTAGACATCTGGGGAGAAGATAGGCTAATTAAAAAGGGAGAGGACCAACCCCTGAGGTGCTCAAACAGGGATTTTGAGATTTCTGATAGAAATTTTTGTTCATAAATGCTTGCCATGGGTGTAAAAGCTATTATAGTAATAATAAATGGTTTAAAATTGCTGTTATGGTAACCGTAATATTGTAAAATAAAACATATTATTCATATAGATTTTTAATGGGCAATAAAGTGTGCATGGGAACAGCTAGTTATTAATAAAAACTTGTGAAAAATAAATGCAAAGTAACCATTGTAAATCAGTTAATCAAAAAATCACAATATTCAGATTTCACATTAAATAATAAATATTAAATTAAATAAGACGATCAATCGAAGATCACCACAGGTTATTGAATTAGTAAAAATCATTACTAATTGATAAGACTCAAATTTCCACAAAGATGGCGGCAAACGATGGCTTCAATAATTCTAATAGTGAGCATGGGACATTTAGCAATCTAGTTTATTATCTGTGGTTTTATAACAATTATGCTGCGTAAACTCATAAAAAAACGATACCCTGGTTAGTGGTTATGCATCAACGTATTTTCGAGTGTCCATGAGTTTGGAGTTAAACATTTCTTTTCTATTTTAATGGTAACTACTAGCCTGCCTTTGAAAGCGTGATTTATTATTATATAATACAATATTATTTTTACTCGCATTAAACGATGACCTTTAATGCGATTGATTTCGGGTATTTAACGGAGGTGTCTTATACAATAATATTATATTTTCGTAGTTTAAGTGCATACTTTATACATATATATCATAATATATATAACTAATAACTATACATATATAAATAGTTTATTATATATAGTATGTGAATTCGTATACGTCGTGACTGCTAGCCGACGATCAGTGTTGTAAAAAATAATTTTAAAATAAATTATTTGAAATAATCTTCAAATACAAAAAAAAAAATTGTATTTAGTTCCGATATAATTTGTTACAATCAAAAATGTATTTATTGCATTTTAAAAACATGATTCGTTTAATAATCAAAATTCTGAACAGTCATATTAGTTCTTTTTTAGTGATAGTTCCGGCACAACAATGAACTTTTCTTTACAGAGGTATTATATATATTAGATTAAAACTATATAGGTATTTGGATATCCATACCGTCATCGATCGTTGTTGACGATAAACGATGATAATATTATTGATAGCCATTTTCTTGGAAAATAGGTAGTACTAATAATTAGTAATAACATTTTCGTATATAGTTAAATAAATTATAAAGTATAATTATAGTAAGTTGTTAAGCAAAAGCTTATTGCATAATACCTATATATTTTGTTATTGACTTAATAAGCTTAGGTATTCTGGTATCGACGTACCGTACTTGTCGACGACTGGAGAAAAAAAAACATTTAATTAAGCTATTAATCGACGTAAACCGATATCGAATTGTCGTCCATAAATGATAAATTTATAATATAATATTGTTATAACGTTGAAGGATAAACACGATGGCACGGTTTTTTTTATTTAAAAAGGATTATAAATAAAAACAAATTAAGAATTAAAAGAATAAAAAAAAGTATTTAAAATACCATTCAAATACTTCAAAATAAAAAGTATTTAAAAAAGTATTTGAATACTTGTATTCAAATACATTAACTCAAATATTTTACAACACTGCCGACGATAACCTAACTCAATAGTTTTCCCATTGATAGAGGTGTTCTGAACTGTCTGCTCGATAGACGATATAGTCCACAGGTTACGATATCATTATTATAATCACGGTATCATAAATTAATGATAATTACCTATTATAAATAACGAGCCAATAAATAATAATATAATGTTCCAAAAGTGATTTACCGTGACGAGTCACCATCGCGCCGCACCCACTGTGTAATAATAATAATAATATAATGCGCCTAATTCAATATTATAGGTTTTTAATACCTATTTGATAGCATTATATTGTTATTATTGTTATTAATATTCGATTTTTAATATTCAATAACATAATAATATTATTATTTTATTGTTATAATCATCGTCGTTATTATACTTAAGTATTAGTTATTATATAGGTAGGTACGCAAAGCACTGATAAATATTCAACAACACTGGATCCGTCTAACTACGATCCGACGGATATTCCAAAGGGTTATATAATTATGACGTTATCTGTTTAAATTAGGTGGAAACGAACCTGTCATTAATCTAATAACCGTAATAACTTATAAATGTATTAGATATATAATTTGTATATATATTTGTTGTTTGTTTCAGATAAACAATTAATAACAAAAGTCCTATTAGATTTAATTATGGAATAAACAATTATTTATATTGTATTATCAACACCACCAAGTAGGTGCCAATATTTTGGATATAGATAATTCACATGAGGACAGTCCTTAAATGCAGTTAAAATCTATAGGAATATAGGAATTTTAAAATGGTATGGTCTGGAAGAGTAGATACTTAAAAATTCCACAAATCAAATTTGTAATTAATTTATTTAATTTAAAACATAAAAATTAATATAAAATCAGACGTAGGGATTTATAAAACGAGACATAATGATATGTACCTATATGTTTGACAACTATGCGTAACTATTAAATTATTTATAAACAAAAGTATACTTAACTTAAATTCGTATGGAAAAAAATATTGGTGTGCTATTAAATAGGTACTTGTTAAATAGATTCGATACCATGATTTTCTGTTTTTGTCAAACACACTCGCGACATAGTATTTAGAACGTGCTTTTTGCCAGTTTTTACCAATTGATCTAATGAAGAGATGAAAATTCTAAAAACAGATTTGAATTTTGAGCCAAGTCTACTTGAAATCAACTTTGCCACATTTTTGGTTTTTTTTTTTTAACTTCTCCGAAAATTGAAATACAACAATTTGTAAATACTCTTTTTTAATATGATATTTTTAAGAATTTGGGGGATAACATAAAAAATGTGGGAAAGTCAATTTCAAGTAGACTTGACAAGAAATTGAAATCTGTTTTCAGAATTCTTAACGTTTCATTAGATCAATTTTTATGTTTGGCAAAAACACGTCTAAAATACCATGTCACCCTTGTGTTAGACCAAAAGCAGAAAATCACGGTATCGAATCCCCTTAATAAATAATAGGTAGTCGTGTAAAAAACTGACCACGACCATATCGTAGAAAAAAATTCTACGATGTCAATTTTATATTCGGAGTGACTATTTTGTGAAATATTATTGTGTTCTCTGAAGTGTGAAAAAGTAATTTCACGAAAAGATCGATTTCACAAATTGGCTACGATATATTATTATTATATATTGGGGAAATAATCACAGAATACATATAAAACCTAATAATAATAATTCTTTTTTTAAGGTATAATATTCCATTTAGATTTTGAATGTACCTACCTATGATTTATAATACAATATATGCATAACTAGATAGATAAAAAAAAAATATACATAAATACAAACTAAA